GTGTCAAATCCACGCAAAGAGAAGGTGTCAAATCCACGCAAAGAGAAGGTGTCAAAGCCAACGAGAGTGACAAAGGCTAGCTCACAGCCCAATTCAATGACGGTTTCACATCTCCAGTCAAAAGTCGTTGGTAGGAATACTACAGCCACCTCAAATTCTAATAAGAATTTGAATTCCAAAGTGGCAAATTGTGATCTTGGGCATCGGGTCGGTCATACAATTAACTCAAAATTGTATGAAACAAAAACGGTCTATCTTTCACCGTTTCGGCCAGATACTACCGTTGATGATGTCACCGATCATTTGAAATCACACCAATGTTACAGTGTTGTAGGTGACTTGAAGGTGATCAAACTGGTGAGCCAAAGTACAGACACTAGGAAATTATCGTTCGTTTCCTTCAAAATAGAGGTGCCAAATCGTTATTTCGACATAATTATGGACAGTTCCATTAGGCCACCGGGCGTTAAGACCAAAGAGTTTGTTGAAAATTCATTGCCAAGCAATGCATGGTCGAAATCGACGAAAGTCACAACAAAGGCAAACAATGACACCGGAAATTTCACCGATTGCCAACTTGTTGCCGCTGCTGTCTCAATGCCTACTCAGTCCACTGATGGGATCGTACAGTCAGCCTCAACAAAATCGTCGCAACTAAGCAACACAAATCACTCTCTCTCTCCTCCAACGACTTTGGTGTACAATGATATTTATTATCAAAATGTTCGTGGCTTGCGCTTCAAATCAAAACATTTTTTCTGTAATTCGTCGGCATTCGCACATTCGATCGTCGTTTCAACGGAAACATGGCTGAACCAATCTCATTTCTCGTCAGAATTCTTTGACAATTCATACCATGTTTACCGTAAGGATCGTTTTGAGACTGGTTCATCGTTAAGTCGTGGTGGTGGTGTACTCATCGTAGTCACCTCAAAACTAACATCCACCAACATTGAATTCGATGACTCAAGTCAATTGGAATATGTCTGCGTTAAAGTCAGCATTAATACAAAACTCAATGTATTTATTTATGCTGGCTGCGTATATTCAGCCAAACTCACAGCCGGAAATATACAAACGCCACTCGATTGCCATAAGCCATATTCCATCGAGCCCAATTGACACTATTATTGTATTGCTACCCCTTGTCAATTGGATTATGGATGACGATGAACATAGTGTTCTTATTCGAACTTGCGTCACTCCACAGCATGCGGCGGACTTTATCGAAGACATCACTGCCAATGGTGTCTATCAGATTAATTCTATTCGCAATGCCAGCAATAAACTGCTCGATTTAATATTTACGAACGATTTCACGAACGTCGAAGTTTCTTGTCCACCGCCTTTATCTGCCATTGATGAACAATATCATCCACCTATTCTCTTGACGTATGAATGGCACATAAATAACTTAACTCAAGAGCAAATTCCAACTAGAAACTTCCTTAAAGCCGACTACATTGCAATGAATAGGTACTTTGCCGAAATCGATTTTTCCGAACACTTTTCAAATAAGCCTCTTGACCATAAAGTCGACATTTTGCACCAAATTATTAACGAGGCGATTGAAAAGTACGTAACTGTTCGAACAAAAAAGATTACATCGGAATGTCCGTGGAACAACAAGCAACTCCAGTCTCTCAAAAATAAAAAGAACAAGGAGTGGAAAAGATCGAAGTCAACCAACAATGACCCTGACTATTTGCTTGCGCTTGAAAATTACAGCAAACTTAACACGGAAAATCGTGGCATTATGGTAAAAAATCATCGGTTGATAAGACGGAACAAGCTAAAATGTTTGCAACATTTTTCAAAAACAATGTTGCAAATCAACCGTCTCTAATTCAATCGACAGCACAAGCGTCAACTCAAACAAACTCTAACGTTAACAATTTCATTCTTAACGAATTCTCTGTTTTCGACGAGTTGTTAAAAATTAACTCTAAGAAAGGCGCGGGACCGGATAGAATTCATCCAATCCTTCTTAAAAATTGTGCTGGCTTATTATACGAACCGCTGTCAATGATTTTCAATGATTCTTTTTCCACTGGACACTTTCCTACGAGATGGAAACGTTACAGCGTTGGACCAATATTCAAAAAGGGATCACGTTCTAACCTTGAAAATTATCGGTGCATTGCCAAATTGCCAACGATCGCCAAGTTTTTCGAATATTTGATTAATTTGGAGATCAGCAAGATGGTAGCCGATAAAATAGTTCCACAACAACATGGTTTTATGAAAGGTCGCTCGACTTCGATGAATTTTCTTCTGCTTTTCATCAACGACATTGTTAATTCCATTAAGGATGACGACATTTTCATCTCTCTGTTTGCTGACGATTTGAAATTGGCAACTTCAATCGCTAACACCAATGACTGTATCAAATTTCAAGTTGCAATCATTAAATTAAAAAATTGGTGCGAAGCAAACAAACTTCATTTAAATCTTGACAAATGCTCTGTTATGTCAATTTCGAAAAAGAGAGAGCAAATCGTAAGTTCTCACTCTTATGGCAGTCAAAAATTCAAGAGAGTGAGTGAACGAGTGAACAAAGAGATTTGGGAGTCATCTTTGAACTTTGACAACAAGCTCAATTTCATCAAACACATCGATTCAATCATGGCCAAAGCAACATCAGCACTCGGATTCGTAAAGAGATTTTGTTACGATATTCCTGATGTCAATACTCTCAAGTCATTATACTGTGCCCTCGTACAATCAATCTTGGATCATGGCTGTTTGGTATGGCTCCCGTACCATGATACACAAGGGCGCCGTATCAACGCATCAATTTTATTCATTTCCGACTTGATGCAAAATAACGTTCACTGCCCATCACTAAAGACTGAAATTGCCCGCAATCAAAATGGACGTAACTTGAGATGTGTCGAGTACTTCAAAATCAATGACAAAAACTTCAGAATAAATCAATCAGTACCAATCAACCAAATGTGCAAAATTTCAAATAAGGTCCACGAACTATTTTCAACGCAGTCAAAAAGATCAATTTTAAAAAATCGACTTTTAGCCTTAAGCGACGATCATTTTTCTAACTTGTCATTGCTGTCCAATTATAACACTGTTTTCTTTAACGATCTAATGTGATACATTGTGATTGTTATATATATATTAATTATCTATTTATCTATTTATTGGTAGTGCAACTTAAAAATGTCGTATTTATGTAAACTTCTTATGTATCATACGCGCCATTTTTTTGACAGTGACAATAAGTGTCAAATAGAGCGTCAAAAAACTATTAAATTCCATCTGTCAAAGTGAATACAAGTTTTTACACACTAGTTTTTTATTGCGTTCAAAATGTCGAATTTCGTTCCGGCTCACTGTCAATGATCCCCCAAATTATCCATTATCCAACATCCATTCATCCATGGATAGATTTTGTTTTTAAAAGGACTGAATAAGTAATATCCATGGATGTTTTTTTCAATGGATAAGTTACATCCACCATCCATCATAAATTTATTCATGAAGAAAAGAAAGAGAGAGATCCACTTAGATAGAGGAGAGTTATAGTGCATCCATGGATAGAATAGATGTTAGTTTATCCATGGATGAGTTATATTTTATGGATAAATAAATAAGTTGGATTTCAAAAATACGAATGAATGGATAAAAACTCTACATCTCATTTGACATTTCATGTGAAGTATTCGATTAGTATATAGAAATATTGGATGATGGATGAAACATCTGATTCATTTTGGATTTGACAAGACAGATCAACAAGTTTCAATTTTCAGTTAAAAACATGTATTCTATTTTTTGTCTGCATTTTTATTTCAACTCGAAAGTTTAATTCATTAAGTTAATTTGATGTTGGGTGGTTTATTCATTAATTCAGCGTCCAATCACATCAATAATATAATCTTTATTCACCGCCAAAAACTGGCTGAATCATAGTTTTGAGTTTGTACATATCTTTATACATGTATTGGTGGAGAAAAGGTTTGTATCAATGATGCAATATACATCTGATCACCATTAAAAACCACATCTTTTCAATAATGAGTTATAATATAAAATAATTTACGGGTTTGAATAGGTGAAAATAGATCAATAAAATAGATAAATAGCTAATAGTAAAAAATTTCAAATTGCACTCGGATACAATTAGTCAAAGCGGTAGATATAAATAAATAGAATAAATATCACAATGAATCACATTTGATCGTTCAAAAAAACAGTATTATGGTTAGACACCAATGACAAGTTGGAAAAGTGTTCATCACTTAAAGCTAAAAGTCGATTTTTGAATGTTGATCTGTTCGTTTGCGTAGAAAAAAGTTCGTGGACTTTATTTGACATTTTGCACATTTGATTGAGCGGCACAGTTGGATTGATTCTTAATAATTTGTCGTTGATTTTGAAATATTCGATATTTCTCAGGTTGCGTTCATTTTGATTTATAGCAATCTCCATTTTAAGCGATGGGCAATGAATCTTATTATGCAGTAGATCGAATATGTATAAAATTGAGGCATTTATACGGCGTCTTTGAAGTGACTGCATATTGAGCTTGCCTAGACGAGTGCTGTACGATGAAATTTTAAAGTTGTTTGAAATATTTGGATATTCTTTGAGTGCGAACATTGTGAATTGACGCAGGCATGACTCGATTTTGTTTTTGTGTATGCCATGATACGGTAGCCATACCAAACTGGCATATTCCAAAATTGACTGTACAAGTGCACAGTAAAGAGATTTCAGAGTATGGACATCAGGAATATCGTAGCAGAATCGCTTCACAAATCCGAGTGCTGATGTCGCTTTGGCCACAATAGAATCGATGTGCTTGATGAAGTTGAGTTTGTTGTCGAAGATGACTCCCAAATCTCTTTGCTCACTCACTCTTTTAAAATTATGATTGCCGTAAGAGTACGAATTTATTATTTTGTCTCTTTTTTTCGATATGGACATGATCGAGCATTTGTCCAGGTTCAAATGCAGTTTGTTGTTGTCACACCACATCCCTAACTTGTCGATTGCTGATTGAAGTTTGGATGTATCGTTGATATTGGCGATTGATGTTGCTAATTTCAAATCGTCGGCAAATAGAGAGATAAAGATATCGTCGTCTTTGATGGCATTTACGATATCATTAATAAAAAGGAGAAATAGTGTGGGGCCCAAGTGGCTTCCTTGAGGCACCCCAGAGTTTACGACAAACTCGCTTGAGTCCATCTGTCCATATTTAACGAATTGACGACGATTCGACAAATACGATTTAATCCATTCAATTAAGTTTGGTGGCAGGTGGAAACTTTGCAATTTTGAGATCAGAATCGAATGATCAACGATGTCGAATGCTTTGCTGAAGTCAGTGTAGAGAACTTCTACCTGCTTATCGTCGTTCAGTGCTTTGATGGAATAGTGCGAAAATTCCAGTAAATTTGACGACGTTGAGCGGCCTTTCATAAAACCGTGTTGTTGGGGTACGATTTTATCTGCCACCATTTTACTGAGATCCAAATTGATCAAATATTCGAAAAATTTGGCTATCGTTGGCAATTTGGCAATGCAACGATAGTTTTCAACGTTTGATCGCGATCCCTTCTTGAAGATTGGTCCGACACTATAGCGCTTCCATCCAGTGGGAAAATTTCCAGTGGAGAGCGATTCGTTAAAAATAGTTGAAAGTGGCTCATACAGTAGAGCAGCACAATTTTTTAGAAGAATGGGGTGAATTCCATCCGGACCAGCTCCTTTCTTTGAGTTGATTTGAAGCAGCTCATTGAACACGGAGAACTCGTTGAGTTTGTATTCATCCATATTTGAGATTGATTGAGGAGACATTTGAGCAGCATTCTGAAATTGAGACGGTTGATTGGCGAAGTTATTCTTGAAGAATGTTGCAAACATTTCAGCCTGCTCCTTCTTATCACTCGATGATTTCTCACCAAAATGCAGCAATTTCGGATCGTAGTCACTATTTTTCTTTGTATTGACGAAACGCCAGAACGATGATGGGTCTGACTTTAACGATGAAGTCATTTTGTCGACGTACGTGTTGTAGAGTTCGGTGTTGAGTTTCGTGTAGTTGTCGAGTGCTATCAAATGGCTAGAATTTTCGCCAGTCAACTTCGATCGTTTCCACTCTTTGTTTTTTTTATTTTTGAGAGACTGAAGTTGCTTATTTTTCCACGGACATTTCGATTGAATTTTTTTTGTTTGAGTGGGCACGTACTTGCTGATTGCTTCGTTGAGTATTTGGTGTAAAATATCAACCTTTTCATCAAGGGATTTATTCGAAAAACGTTGAGAAAAATCTATTTCAGCAAAGTATCTGTTCATTGCTATGTAGTCGGCTTTGAAAAAGTTTCTAGTTTGAATTTGTTCTACGCTTGAATTGTTTATGTGCCATTCATATGTCAACATAATCGGTGGATGATATTGCTCATCGATGGCGGATAATGGCGGTGGGCAAGAAATTTCAACATTAATAAAATCATTTGTGAAAATTAAATCGAGGAGCTTGCTGCTAGCATTACGAATGGAATTTATTTGATAAAGTCCATTTGTTGAAATATCCTCAATAAAATCGGCTGCATATTGTGGAGTGACACACGTTGGAATGAGAACATTGTGTTCAGTGTCGTCTGTTAACCAATTGACAAGGGGTAGATTAAAATCACCCATTACAATGATGGTGTCATTTGGAGCCAATGGAATATGATTTATGGCATTTGAGTGGCATTTGTATATATCCGACTGTGAATTCGGCGGAATATAAGCCGCATAAATAAAAACGTTGAATTTTGAATTAATGTTGACTTTAACGCAAACACATTCCAATTGATTTGTGTCATCGATCATAATGTTGGTGGATGACAATTTCGAGTTGACTGCAATGAGTATTCCACCACCACGACATAACGATGATCCAGTTTCGTAGCGATCTTTGCGGTAAACATGGTAAGAATTGTCAAAGAATTCTGACGAGAAATGGGAGTTGTTTAGCCATGTTTCCGTTAATACGACGATTGAGTGAGCAAATGCCGATGAATTACCGAAAAATTGTTTGGATTTTGTACGAAGACCACGAACGTTTTGATAATAAATGTCATGTGTACTCACTAGAATCGATTTAGGAGGTTGCCCAATTGATTGACCATTTGGTTTAATAGCCTGAGCTCCTTTGGACCCATGAATTGCTTGCCTCGATGATGTGTTTGAGTTTGGCTGATGTTTGGTGCACGAGGAAAATGTTGCCTTTCCTGTTGTACTTTGAAGGGAGCCCGATGGTTTTTTTGGTTCGAATTTGAATTTGAGTTAAATTTATTTCGTCCGAGTTGATTGGCAGCAACTTTTTGACGATAGACATTTGAATTTGATTTGAAAGTGTGATGATTCTTATTTGAATTCGATGTATTAAATCGTTTGGTTGAGTGTGGAATTTGTGAGTTTATTTTGTTATGTTGTGGTTTCCGAACGGCAAATGGATTCACACGAAAAATTTTTTGTGACATTGATTGTGATTGAGGTCGTGCTTTTGTTTGAGTTTTCGGTGAACGCACAATAAACTCATTTGCGGTGACACCAGTTGGCCAAAATGTTGGATCGATGTAACAATCGTAGAATTCTTTGTGCACCGTTAATTTGAATGATACAAATGTCAATTTTTTTGCATTGCATTTAGTCGGTAATAATTTTTTACATTCAATAACCTCGGTTTGATCGCGATTTTGGGATCGGATATGGTTCAAAATATTGATTTCAGTTGCCGACGGTGAGAATGGTGTCAAATAAATACAGCGATAATTCGTTGAACTGAATTTTTGTGTGACAAATTCGCTTAGCATTGGATTTTGAGTTTCTGGCATAATGTCAATCGAAATACGACGTCGTTTTGCAGTTGGATTAATTGGATTAATTTGAGTGCTTTCCGTTGATTCAACATCATCATTTGTATCCATTTGCTGGGAATTTTGGATGGAATCATTAGAAATTGTCGATGAAATATGAACTAAATCCGCAAGTTGGTTGCTTTGTTGTGAATTTTGTTGTGACAGCTGTGTTTGTTGTGATTGAATTGTCGATGAATCGTCATTTGAATGTTGTTGTATTTGCTCTTTATCCCGTACAAAAGTGGCGGTAATGTTCGGCAAGCACTCGTCACAAAACCACAATAAATTGTCAACGTAAAATATGGCATTGAATAGAGATTTTTTGTAATGTTTGTTTGCACCGGAAAGGCAAGAAAAATGGTGTTTATTGCCACAGCCAAAACATTCCAGTGAGTCATGGTTGACAGTAATTTCCAGTGTGCACAACGTACAGCTCATTGTGATAGATAAACACACAGATGGATCGAAAGTAGTTGACAATTGGAAAGAGATGCAAATGTGTTGAGAGAGCACACAGTTGCGACGGTATTGTGAATTTTATTCCAATATGCTACACGCACACGCAAGTGAATTTGGCGCGCTGTGAATGCTGGATACGTGCAATTGTATTGAGCACTGTGTCACACAATTGAACAAACGATTATGACAGTGCGATTGTATTTGTGTGTTTTTTTTTCGATACCGACGATGAAAAAATATTTTCATTCGATGATATAAAGTTATGCACAAATGATTTGAAAAACTAATTATATATTTAAGTAACACCAAAGTTTATGTACACGATGAATACAAAATAGTTGCGGAAAAACAGTGAAAACAGCAAAAAATGCACAATTATTGAAGAGCTAAAAAAAAACTACGACTCGACGCACAGCTGTCAAAGTGATAACAGTGAGCTGTCAAAGTGATTTTTAAATTAAAATTGATTTTCAAAAATGTAAAAAATTAAAATCTATTTATTTCTACTGTTTTATTTTAACAGTTTAACGCAGTTTAATCAATTCATTATGATTTTGCCAAACCGTGACGGCCATATTGTCACAAACGTCAATTAGTACTCGGAATACGCATTAGAGGTGTTGTTAGCTACGGGCATGATCAGGCTTCGGACCATTCATACAAAATACAGGGAAACCAAACAAAATCACACATTTTTTCAAATTTTTTTTCAACAACATCACACATTTTTTAAAAACATTGAAAAAGGTTTGAAAGTTAAAAACTGAAAAGATTTCAAGAAAATAATTAATTTGAATCATCAGAATAATTTACATGAGAGCGTTTTTGTTCGCATTTTGCACACAAAACAGTGATTTTCGAATGTTCGCCGCATACATTTTTATTGCATTTGTCACAACATGTTTTGGTTTTACGATTGATTGAACTTGGACATAAATGACATGCACGTCGTTGCCGTGGTGTAACTGGCGCTTCTTGTTCCTCTTGACCCAACAAATGCTCGCGAACTTCTTTGAAAGCCGACTGATTAGATGCATTCATGCCGCGCGCTGTTCGCCGTACGATATGATCGTAAACTAAACCTTCATACAATTCGATCAAAAATGTCTTGCGTTGAAATGCATACTGTTCATGCGTGATATCGTGACTTGTGTTGTAAACAACAAATGCTGCAACACCACATACGTTGATGAGGTTCATGAAGAATGCAAATGGCCATCGATTGGTTCCACGTTGACATGAGTGTGAATGGCACATTTCAAATGTGACATTTGATCCCTAGTTTGATCCAAAACATCCACACCGCCTTTCGTGCTATTGTAGACTAAAGATCGATTTTTCTCTGACCAACGATGTGTGCGAATTGTGGTTAAAAACAACCGATATGAAAATTTAGTCAAGACACCCCGTGTACAAAAAAAAGTGACTGACCATTTTGGGACAAACTGACTGACTGTTGACTGTAAAAACAAGCAACCTTAGTTAAATTTATTTAACTTCAATAAATTAAAGTAAGCTATGGTTAACTGCAACAGCTAACTATAGTTGAGAATAATCATAGTCACCCGATAGTCTAAACGTCCCAAAATAATCGCCTGACTGACTGAGTAACTATAGTCGATTGTTTTCCATACAAAATTTTAAAATTCATGAATATAGCTAACTATAGTCACTTACAGCCAATAGTAACTTAGTCATTTTTTTTCCACTCGGGACCATCCAACAATTCCGTCTTTGTAATTACACGTCTTTGATAACCACGTCAACAGATGGCGCATTATTGTGCGACTTTTTTCTCGTCTATATTAATATACAGGAACTCATGGTGGTTGTCTCTGACAGACATTTTGTTGAAATAATAATATGATGTACGCGAAAAACAAGAATGATTCAAATTGATTTTTCTTGAGAATTTCAACCTATCTTCTCGTTTTCCAATTTAATTTTTCATTTTTATTAAACGGATATCATAAATTTTCACCAACTTAATTTGTGAAAATGATTGATTATGTGTTTCCCATACATTTTGTATGGACGGTCTAAGAGACCGTAAGTAAACGATCAAGTAAGGATTTTCGTCTTTCTGGATTTTTTTTTTACAGAACAGTTTCAGGATTTTAAATGTTAATTTCAATATTCATTATTCTCGTAAAAAGGCGAAAAATGGATGGCAATCGGTCGACGCGTTTCAATTTTATGAGATTTTTTTTAAGTTTTCGGTCTAATAGACCGTTACTATACCTAGGAGGGTTAAATAAAAATAAACACACAAAATAAAGTACATGTTTTTCCTTTTGGATGTAACACAAAATAAATCTGATGTTTCATCCATCATCCAATATATATAGAAATGGTCGAATACTTCACATGAAATTGGAATCTTTCTCATAGGCATCCCTTCAGTCATGACACTTCACTCTATCAACCAAAGTCGTTCAAAATCTAATGGTTTCTATTCCTCGCAACCCCCAATCATCCTGCACTTTCTTCGTGTCTCGCTCCGTAATCTGTTTTGTGTTTTCGTAACTGACGCACGGTGCGAATGCCCCGTGTGAACAGTGCAAATTGAGTGCTTGGGATTTAGCTCATACGTACTATACCGTAAATACTTTGAAACTCTCTTCATAATCCGACGCACAAACTATTTGAAGCGACATGTGCATGACAGATGGAATGGAAAATTTTATCATTTCAAATTAAAACGCGTTAAAACTGAATAGTAAATACTGAAAATGAGGTCGTCTGTACATTTTTCACTAATTTGTTTTTTTCCAACTTCATTAAAGGTAAACTTAAATTTAAAAAAAAACGTACACGTGTAAGAATAAGAATTTCATCTTTCAAAATTTGTGTGACTAAATTTTATACGAATATTTCGTGTATAAATACTGCAGACCCATCACACTCAAGCTACATTCTAAGTTCAGTAGTATACGAAGCCGTTAAACAACTGAAATAATGAAGCAAATTTTATTTTTTGTATTTTCGTTGATTCTACTATTGTTCGGAGAGGTAAGAATTATCTTAAATGTATTAACATTACCCAAAATATAAAACTCTGAAACCGAATGGCTTTTAGCTCGAAATTCATTTA